AAAGGAAATACCTAATAAACATCTCTGAATTCACAATTATTACATAATACCTCTAATACACACTATTAAATATCACTATATATATCAAGCGGGCACAGTAGTGAACTTCTTCTTAACGTATATCCCTTGGTTATGATCGCGTCGTAACCATGGAGTGTCCTCATCATTTAGCTGGACGATTGGGTCTTTGTTCACTATAAATGGTGGAATTTGGTCATCCTTTTCATAATCTTCTGATATGTCTGACTTGTCTTCAATTCCGACGATGTTTCTTTTCCCTGAAAGAACTATGTGGCGCTTTGGCTCATTGATTAGGTCGTTGTTGTTTTTTTCTCTCTTCGGTTTTGTAGACATGTCCTTGACATAGAACACCTGATTCACATCCTTGACAAGTACGAACGGTTCGTCTTTGTACCCAATATTATTGAGGTCCACGGTTGTCATTCCATACTGGTTGTCGACTGCTACCCCGCCTCCAGTCGCCTTTACTCATTGGCACTTGAACAAAGGTACCTTAAAAGTAGGTGCATAGTTTAGTTCCCATATCTCCTCTATGCGGTCATAATATGTTTGCTTATTTCCATTAGGGTCGGTGGCATCTATGCGGACATCACTGTTTTGGTTGGTGCTCCTTTTATCATGGCTACTGTGTAAAATGTATTCCCATTTATCTCATACCCTGTGTATGTGAGGATATGCCACGATGGCTGCCTAGCCAACAAATACAGTTGCTCATCAATACTCTCATCACCCTAACATTCTTTTCGCAACCAGTCACTGAAAGTTTCCATGTACTATCGCGTAATCCAAGCTTCAGACTTTCCTAGAAACTCGGATCGGAGCAACTCTTTATGTGTCTCGATATACGGATCCACCAAGGAGGAGTTTTACAGAACTGTGTAGTGTGCTTTATTAAAATAATTGTCCTGCGTACCTATATATGGTTTCTTCCCTAGTGTCTCATTTCCACTTAGTCTCCCCTTGTGTCACGATTCAGGAATACCAATCGGGTCAAGGTCGGGAATAAAGTCAACACAAAACTCAATGAACTCCTCTGTTCCATAGCCCTTGGCGATGCTTCCTTCTGGCCGAGCACGGTTGTGAACATATTTCTTTAGGACTCCCATGAACCTCTCAAAGGGGAACATGTTGTGTAGGAACACAGGATCGAGAATGCTAATCTCCTTGACCAGGTGAACTAGGAGGTGTGTCATGATATTAAAGAAGGAATGAGGGAACACCAACTCAAAGCTGACAAGACATTGAACCACATCATTCTGTAGTTTAGCTAGATCCATTGGATTGATTGCCTTCTGAGAAATTGCATTGAGGAATGCACATAGCTTTACGGTGGCTAGACGTACATTTGGAGGTAGAATTCCTCTTAATGCAACTGAAAGCAATTGCGTCATGAGCATGTGGCAGTCATGGGACTTTAAGTTTAGTAATTTCTTCTCTGGCACATTTATTATACCCTTTATATTTGAGGAGAATCCAGATGGTACCTTGATGCTTGCTAGGCATTTAAACATGCTTTCCTTCTCTTCTTTGTTAAGAGTGTAGCTGGCAGGACTTAAGTAATGGTATCCATCATCTGTCTTCTCTGGATGCAGGTTATCTCGTTCTTTCAAACACTACAGGTCCTATCGTGCTTCAAGTGTGTTCTTAGGCTTCCCATACACACCCATGAAGCCTAGCAAGTTCACACAAAGATTCTTCGTCAGGTGCATCACGTCGATCGCGCTACGGACCTCTAGGACTTGCCAATAGGGTAGCTCCCAAAATATGGACTTCTTCCACATGGGTGCGTGACCGTCGGCGTTGTTCGGAACAGGTTCGCTGCCATGTGCCTTTCCAAATACTACTTTCACATCCTTAACCATATTGAGTACATCCTCACCAGTTCGATTGCCCGACTTGGTTTGGTGGTCTGCCTTACCTTTAAAATGCTTGCCTTTCTTTCTTAGGGGGTGATTCGCAGGAAGAAATCGACGATGGCCAAGGTACACGACCTTTCGATATTTTTTTAAGAATATACCTTTAATGTCATCGAAACAGTGCGTGCATGCATTATATCCCTTGTTTGATTGTCCTAAAAGATTACTTAGAGCAGGCCAATCATTGATTGTTACGAACAACAATGCCTGCAGGTCAAAGTGCTCCTATTTGTGCTCATCCCACACACGTACACCTGGTCTGTTCCACAAAAGTAGAAGTTCTTCAACTAGTGGCCTCAGGTACACATCGATGTCATTGCCAGGTTGCCTTGGGCCTTGGATGAGCACTGGCATCATAATAAACTTATGCTTCATGCATAACCAGGGAGGAAGGTTGTAGATACATAGAGTAACAGGCCAAGTGCTATGACTACTGCTCTGCTCCCCGAAAGGATTCATACCATCCGTACTTAAAGCAAACCTTAAGTTTCTTGCGTCATTTGCAAACTTCGAGAATTCTCTATCGATTGCTCTCCACTGGGACCCGTCAGCAGGGTGTTTCAACATATTGTCTACCTTATGGTCTTCTTTGTGCCATCGCAACAACTTTGCATGGTCTTTGTTTCTGAACAGACGTTTCAAGCGTGGTATTATAGGAGCATACCACATAATCTTGGCAGAGATTTTCTTCGTGGGACGTTCGCCCTCAACATCACTAGGGTCATCTCGCCTGATCTTATACCGCGATGCATGACATACCGAGCATGCATCTAACTTCTCGTACTCCTCGCCATGGTAGAGGATGCAGTCATTAGGACATGCATGTATCTTATGGGTTTCTAATCCCAAAGGGCAGATTACTTGTTTTGCTTCGAACGTAGTGACGGGCAATTCGTTATCCTTCGAAAGCATCTTCTTTTGGATTTTCAGTAACTCCTCAAATCCCTTGTCAGATACACCATTCTTTGCCTTACATTGCAGCAATTCCAGTGTGGTACCCAACTTTTTCTGCCTCGCATCACAAGTTGGGTATAGCAATTTCTTGTGATCCTCTAGCATACGCTCGAACTTGATCTTCTCCTTTTCACTTTCGCATTCTCTTTGTGCGTCACGAATGGCCTGACCAAGATCATCAGCGGGCTCATCTTCTGCCCCTACCTCTTCCTCAGCTTCCCCCATTGCAGTATCATTGAAGGCACCATATTCAGCAATAATGTCATCATCGTCCCATTGTTCTTCTTCACCTTCTTCCATTACAACCCCGGTTTCTTCATGCTTTGTCCAACAAATATAGTTTGGCATAAAACCCGACTTCAACAAATGTGAATGAAGACTCCTTGAGCTAGCATATTCATTCAAATTCTTACATATGGCACATGGGCAGCACATAAAACCACCGCGTTTGTTTGCCTCGGCCACACGTAAGAAAGAATGCACGCCCTCAATGAACTCTTGGGAGCGGCGATCAGCATTGTACATCTAATGCCGGCTCATCTGCATTACATGACATACATACAATATTAAAACCTAGAACATAATTAGTTAATTATACGACATGCATGCCACCACACAAGGTATTAATTTATGAAAGTCTCGCTACAATGTAGACAATCCCAACTACCACTAAAAAACTAAAGCTAAAATGCACTTCAGCAGCATAAGGATTTCGCGACTAATCCCAACTAAAACAGACAGATCATGCGTTTGTTCAACATCTATGGGCTTGTTCCGCAGGATCACTACCTCATCAGCCGCCGTAGCCGCCTGTGCAAGAGAGTTTTGCACGTGTTCAACATACTCTTCCTCCCAGTACCAGCCTGAACATCCAGTGCCATCCCACTAAAATTAAAACAAAAAATTAGAACTTTAATCACAATCATCATGAAAATAAGTATAAATTAATCATAATCATCAAATGCGACAAAATAACTCATATTGCGATCCGGACACTTGTAGAAGATACGGCCCTTGTTAGGACACTCCTTCCTCACCCGGTACTCCATCACAATCTTCTCCTCACACTTGCCGCATGCAATGAGAGGGAGGTCCGGCCTCAGTCGCTTTTGAACCCGATGAGAGGCCGAGGACTCGGAAGCAGTTGCCATCTACTCTCTATACTCATTTTTAATATAATATAAATTTCTCGTTTTATAAACAAATAAAATTAAAAAAAAACTCTAAAATTCTCTATATCTCTAAACCATAAAGTGTGCTATGCATGCTAGAAATAAAAGCTGAATACTAGTTTTGAATAACTATTTTAACCTTCCTTCATCCAAATATGCAAACTTTAAAGTGATTTTGAGCTTAAATGGCTTACAAATAAAAAAAATTCCACCATAAAAAACCACATATATCTAGTCCACAAAATGAGATATGCTACTGATGAAACATGAGAGTATAAAGTTGATAACCTTTAGAACCAAAGAATCGATGGAGGAATCGAAGAAATATTGTGATTACCAACGATGAGGAAGAAGAGAGGCCGGCGATATGAAGCAAGAACACTGAGCTCGAAGTGGCTCGGGCTCAGGGAGGAAGAAGGGGTATATAGGAGGGAACGTTTAGTCTCGGTTGGAGATAGCAACCGGGACTAAAGATCCCTTTCTAATCCCGGACGGAGCCTCCAACCGGAAGTAGACTTTTACTCCCGGTTGGAGGGACCATCCGGGAGTAAAAGTTAACCTTTAGTCCCGGTTGATAGCTCCAACCGGGACTAAGGTCCCCTGCAGCAAAAGCCTCTGCCGCAGTAGCCGTTGGGCAGGGACCTTTAGTCTCGGTTGGAGCTACCAACCGGGACTAAAGGTTTCTCTAGTCCCGGGCGCGGAAAATACCGGGACTATCTCTACTATTGAGGTTAATATATATAGATATAGATAGATTATAGCAATACATAAAGGTTTTCTTTTTTGGGGGGAGGAGGAGGAGGAGGGGCGTTGGTGTATATATATAATAACTTGGTACTACTGTACTATACTAGTGAACTACTCCCCGTGACTTTTCTTTTTGGAGACATACTCCTCGGTACCTGGCCTGGCCTGTTGGTAGATATATGGTAGTTGATCACGATAGGCTGACGCATTGTCCCAGTCCCCACAGCCACCAACACCTCTGGAGGCGGTTCAGAACCGTCTGCATGGACGGCCTCTGCTGTGGATCCACGACGGTGCAATCCACACCGAGCCTGAACACGGCAGCCATCTCCTTCAAGTGCCTAGCCCGATCCGGGATATCCATGTCGGCTGATCTCTCGAAGGCTTCATGGTAGGATTCCCCAGCGATCAGTTCACTGTGGTGTCCACGTGCCCAAGTGGCCAAGTGGCCGTGCGCGCCTGGTCTGTTGGCCGGTCTCCCCGTAACGAGGACCAACAGCAGCACACCAAAGCTGTACACGTCCACCTTCTCACTCACCTCGACCGTCGCATATTCTACAACAAAAAGTGAAGCCGTTAGGCATTGTGGATTGTTCCATACAAAAATTGGAAGCACTACAAGCAGTAGGGCCTCACCTGGAGCCGTGTACCCGAAGGAATCAGCAGGAAGTTCCGAGTTTCTCAACGGCTGGCTGAGTCCAGCAAGGTTGATCTGGGCCAGGTCGAAACCAGCGATCTTGGCATTGAGGTCGCCGTCAAGCAAGATGTTGCTCGGCTTGATGTTGCGGTGGATGACAGGTTTGTTGCATCCATGGTGCAAGTGAAAGAGTCCTTTGGCCACGCCGATGGCAATGGCTCGCCGTTCCCGCCAGCGCAGCGGTGGACGCCGCCGCCGCTTGCTGGCTTCCAGGGGCTGGTGCAGCAGCCATTCGTCAAGCCTGCCATTCTCCATGTGCTCGTATAAGAGCAGGATCATGTCGTCCCTCTCGATACGGTGGACAAGGCTGATGACGTTGTCGTGACGGATGACGCCCAGCATGTTTACCTCGGACTGGCATCGGTTCTTAAGATTGTCATCCACCTTTCCTTTCTCGTTCTCCAACTTCTTCACGGTTACCGACCTGAAGCGCCCGCTGCCATTACTGTCCTGAAGACGGACCCGGTACAGTTGGTCTCCTGTTTCACTGCGACCAATTGAATTGTTGTCGGAAAGGTTGTCAAGTACTTCCTGCTCATTGAACTCGAGGGAGGTCACGGCCTTGCGGCGCCAGAACAGCAGCCACTCCAGGGCACAGATGCCGACAACGCCAGCACAGCAAAGTAGTGCCATGAGTAATACGAAGCTTGTCAAGAGGCCAACGGAGACCTCGCCGCCGGCAAGCACCGTACCTGACGCCTGCAGGTACAACAGCTTCCTCAGCCGGACTAGCTGCACGGGCGCTGCCGGCAGAAAAGGGCTCACACTCAGCACCGGCATCTCCAGGCTGGTCATCAGGCCGGTGGTAGCGGGCGCCTGGCCGGCAGCGTGCATCAACCTGCATGGTTGTGTACTGTATTGAGCGCCACGATTTGTACAACAGAGACGAAAGAGTATTATTTATAAAATGAGCCAGAAGAATGATCTAGGACAACTAAAATTACTCAACATGAAGAAGATGCATGGTCAATATAATGATTGATGTATTAAATAACATAGAGAACGATGGCGGCTGCACAATAATAATGTTCTCTCATCATTTAATTTCATGCACATACAGCAATGGCAGGGGTGGAGTGGCGGCCGTGGACGAAGGCACTACCTAGCTTAGCTTGTGCGTTCCCCTCCTCCCGCTCCGCGCGGCGCCGCCACGCTCCCAGTCACCCGCCACGACTCGGCAACGGCCAACTAAAATATTTTTTTTCTCTCTACTAGCTACTGCAAGCTGCTTCTTTGGCCCTATCGACACCGAGGTTTATGCTGCACGCACACATGTTTGCATGAACAAAAGACAAGAGCAAGGCGACAACGTAACGTCCAGCAGGAATTGCAGTTGGAGTGTGTGCAAACCTGAGATCGATTTAGAGGGTTGCCGTTGGAGAGAGTTCCGTGAAACCGTTAATGGAGAGGTTGCGGCAGCGGAAGCAGCCCGAGAACACCGTGTGGATCGCCTGTGAGATCTGTTGTTGAAGATCGAAGCAGCCGGAATACGTGCGGATCCCGGTGAGGATGCTCGCTGTTTGTTGAAGTAGAGGTATAGGCGAAGCAACCGGTGAGGGTGGTGTGTACCGTGTTGAAGTCGAAGTCACCGGTGCGGATGGTGTCGAAGAAGTCGAGGACACCGGTGAGGATGGTGTCGAAGAAGTCGAGGCGGAGGATTGTGTTGAAGTCGAGGTCGCCGGTAAGGGTGTTGTCGAAGAAGTCGAGGTCGCCGATGAGAGTGTTGTCGAAGAAGTCGAGGCCGCCGGTGAGGGTGGTGTTGAAGACGCGAGGTCACCGGTGAGGGTGATGTTGAAGACGAGGTCACAGGGTGAGGGTGATGTTGAAGTCGAGGTCGCCGGTGAGGGTGGTGTCGAAGTCCTTGAGGCTGTCGAAGAAGTCGACGTCGCCGGTGAGGGCGGTGTCGAAGTACTCGAGGCCGCCAGTGACGGTGGTGTTGAAGTCGAGGTAGCAGATCGAAGCAGCAGACCACGTGCGGATCCCAGTGAGGATGCTCGTTGTTCGTTCAGGCGAAGCAGCCTGTGAGGGTGGTGTTGAAGTCGATGTCGGCGGTGAGGTGTACTGTGAGGGTGGTGTTAGAGTCGAGGTCGCCGGTGAGGTATAGGCGAAGCAGCCAGACAGCACGGTGTCGGTGTCGCCGGTGAGCTCTTGGCGTTGTCGTGTAGAGACGCGCTGGTATGGTTTGCCGGCCACCTTATCGGAAATGGGGAGGAGGAGAAAAGCAGAGCAGGGGAAAAGGGTGGTTCAGAGCTCACCTTCTGTTTTCGATCGGGGCGTCGAGGGTTGGTATATATATATATAGCGTTCGGCGGTAGGCGGGGTGCGACATCATGTAGGTCACTTTCGCGAAGAAGTCGAGGTCGCCGATGAGAGTGTTGTCGAAGAAGACGTGCTGGGCCTTGTTTAGTTGGCCGAATCCGGCGCCGCCGAATTCACCGTACGCTATTGTAGCATAATGTAGCATTTTATTTGTATTTAGTAATAATTGTCCAATCATTGACTAATTAGGCTTAAAACGTTCGTCTCGCAAAGTACAACCTAACTGTGTAATTAGTTTTTTATTTTGTTTACATTTAGTACTCCATACATGTACCACAAATTTGATATGACGGAAAATCTTCTTTTTACATAGTGCCAAAGTTAAAAGTTATGAGCAATTAAACAAGACCTTGATTTGGATCTGACATAGTCGCTGTCCTATCGGATGTACTATCATTTTTTGTTTGTATTGAATATCGTCCTCTACGTGTAATAATTTTCTGGAGGGTGGACAAGTGCCTTGTCGCATTGTCTCGGAAGGTCCGTCCTCTACGTGTAATAATTTACTGGAGGGTGGACAAGTGCATTGTCGCATTGTCTCGGAAGGTCCGTCCTCGAGGCAAAAAGGCAGGAGGTATCTGAAAAGAGTGGTCTCATGACTTTTCGAGGCAAAAAGTAATGATGCACTCTTTTCATTTCAAGATAGCTGATGCGGGGTCGCAGTTTGACCATGACTTACAAAATTGAGGCGGCAGGAAAATAAAACGCTGGAGTATGTAATCCGGACGGAGTGATGAGGACGCTGTCTGTCTGACAACACTTCACGGTTCGGCATAGTACCTGAAATCTAGAATATTTTATGCATTATGACTGATGTTATGGCAGTGGCATCAGAGGGAGTATCTAATTGGAGCCATTATCATAGGAAAAATGAAAGGGTCACCTACCATATCATATATGCCCAGATGGCATGTCAGGCAGCAAGCAACTTTATACACTGATTATAAAAACACGTCGCTTTGAACAAGATTAGGTCAAATCTTCTTAAAGAATACAAACATCCGTAACTCAAATGCTTTAGTTTGGAAACGTATAGGATATATGTGTAGATTGCATTGAAAAATACTTGGAAAATGTCATAATTTGAAGGATATTAGGAATATATTCTAGAAGATACTAGTGTCAAAGATATGCACTGAAGATGATGTGAAGTTAAATGTAACAAATATTTTTTACTGGATGGAGTGCCAACTTGAGACAATTTATTGTGAAGCAGGCATGTGATCTGTGTTTTCTCAGTGAGCAAACAATGAGCCTCTTGAAAGGGATACACGTTGATAGAAAAGTGTAGATCAAAAGAAAAGGAGCTCATTATGATCCTAGTTTGTGCAAAAGAATCAAAATGATAAAATAATAGGCTACCATGGAAACGACAATTTCCAAATTAGATCAATCAGTTAAGCAATCTGGGCATAATATAGGCATGCCAACTTGCACACGGATGCTACTTAGCATCGCAGAGTTTTGAAACAGAGCGAAAACATATACAACAGTGGCATATAGCAGTTAAATAAGCCATTGAGGGAAACAATAGATTTTTAACAGTTAACAAAGATTCAGACAACATGCCAGCAAAACATGACCAGGCAGGACAGGGTATGATAGAATGAACAAAGAGCTCAGAAGATTCAATGAACAATGCGAATGCTACAAGACAAGTATTTCCAAGAAGTAGAATTGAGATGAATTATTTATAGAAGCTAAAAAGATCAAACAGGTTTTTATCATGTGCTTAGAATGCATACCACGTCGATAAGGAACCAACCTGATTAGGTGCCAAGCAGGTTGTCAAACAGATACAGAAATATACATTCAGGAGAGTGATATTGTACTGCATTCATTTCATGCTACTACATCTAACACTGCAGCCTGCAACACAAAAAAGAGTGTACGTGATTAGACATCCACATTGGCACCCAAAAAAATAATCCATGTATCAAGAAATGTGGTAGTATGACTATAATTCTTAGATTTTTTTTTAGCGATCGTGTCAAGCATGTATTTCATTAGGAAGAAAGGAGTTTACAGAAACAAGAAGCAAGCCACGGCTTGCCAAGCACATATAATTCTTAGATATTTGACCAGTTGTCCAGTACAATCTGATGTACTTGCAGGGGCACACAATGGAAAAGCCTAGAAAGGAAGCTCAAGAATAACAGCAAGGGAAAAAAATCAATGGTGAGCAACACAATGTAAAATTAAATCCGTCATAGGAGAAACGCCAAAAAGTCTTTGGTTGCTCTCTGACGTGAGTTCTGGCGACTCAGAGTGGGTCTCGAACCTGGGCTTCCACCCCTGGATTTCGATTGGTTCCAATCCAATCTTAAGCTCAAATTAGCTCATTCCACCCACCTTCTCCACGATCCCACACATAATCTCCAAATCCCTTTCATCTTCTCCACCATTTTCACCCATCCACACTATCTGCTGTGCAAAACCCTTTGACCGTGAAGCTGTTCGACTGAGGTGCTGCGGAGGTAGGGAGAGACATGGAGGTACAAGAGGAAGGAAAGGAAGAAGAAACGCTCCGTGGACTGCTGAGTGGTTTGCGACTCTCGGAGGCGGAGAGAAGAGGTATTAAAGGCACTTGGCTGGAAAAGGAGAAAGGAAGTAGCGGGGAAGCTCAGGCAGTGGGGAAACTTTTTGCCGAGAAGCCTGGAAACGCAGAAGGGATTGCTCAATCTCTTGGGAAGATCTGGTGTCCAATTAAAGGTATAAAATGCAGGGAGCTTGGTTGCAATTTATTTCTTATTAGCTTTCTGCAACAAGGAGGAAAAAGAAGGGCACCGGAGGAGGGTCCTTGGGAGTTTGATGGCGGTCTGTTTATAGTAAGGGAGTTTGATGGAGCAAGTAGGCTGGAGGAGTTGGAGTTCTTCTCAACTCCTTGTTCGGTGAGGGTTCTAAAGCTACCTTTGGGCATGATGAACAAAATCACTGGTGAGGCTATTGAGGACAATATTGGTAAAACTTTGGAGGTAGATGCTGAGGAGAATGAGTTGGCTATTGGATTGTTCCTAAGAGTGAAAGTTGTATTAGACATTCGAAATCCACTTCGGGGGTGGGGGTAACGATTGAGATAAACAAGGAATGCGAGATGAACTGGTGTCCCTTGGAGTATGAATTTTTGCTACATCCGTGGGCTCCTTGGGCATACAGATAAAGTTTGTGACGCTGGAGGGTGGAGATGATGAGGAAGCCGTTTAGCAGTGAGTTATGCGTGATGGCATCTCGGAGGCGTTTTTTGGAGGACAACATAAGAGGAAAGAATAGTAGTGGCTCTGGGGGTAGTAAATGGGAAAGAAGTTAAGGGAATGCAAGGAAGTTGAGCTGGAGAGAATCAAAGGGAACAGTTTCAGGAAGTGCCAGGTTGAGCAACAAATTGGATAAAAGGGAAGAGTCCACCAGCCCACTGAAGACCCCAATGCTGGACAATAGAAGCAGATCCCCAAAAGAATTAATCTCTGGACAATCTGCAGAGGTGAAGTTTTGTGAAAAAAGTGGACAAGTTGCTATCCTAGAAATCGTGAAGGTTCAAAAGTCAGGGGTGATGGTGGCGTCAATAGTCCTGACAATAGAGAAGAACATCATCAGGAGGGGGTGAATTGTGCTCCAAACCTGATCTGCAACCTAGATGTTTCTGAGGAGCAGTACACCCCAGATAGTGTGATGGAAATAGAGAACATAGGAAAGGAGGCGGTCGGGAGTATGGACGATGCAGCTTGTGGGACAGGGGCTGGTTTGGGGTTTTTGGAGTCTTCAACCAGCAGCCACAGGCCTCCACTGTGATGTCGCCTCCTAAACCGGAGAAGAAAACCTCCTATATGATAAGGAGGAGCCGAAAAGCTAATTTGGGTGATGGCAAGTTGCTTGGTGATGGTCTGGTTCATAAACGCCATCTTATAGAAGAGATTGAGGTGAATGATGTAAGCCTGAAAAAAACAGAGAGTGGAGGAGGTTCTAACCAAGACAACTAACTGTCTGAAAGCGGATGGCGCAACAATTGAAACTATTGGTAGCAAGGCGGGGTTGCCAGGGCAATCCCGCCCAGCCAAATGAGGATAATCACTTGGAACTGTTGGGTTGGGGAATGCCTTGGCAGTTTGTGGGCTTCTGGATCTCCAGAAGCATGAATCCCCAGACATCCTCTTTCTCTCTGAAACAAAAATGGATTGGAAGAGGATTGAGAGGTTCAGATGGATCCTTAATATGCCCAACTTAATTGTGAAGGATTGTAAAGGGTTAAGTGGAGGCCTAGATCTCTTCTGGAATAAAGAAGTTGATTTAACAGTAAAAAGCTTATCTAGATATCATATTGATGCGGTGGTGAAGGAAGACTCTGGAAGAGAATAGCGTTTCACAGGGATTTATGGGGAGCCAAAGTTGGAAGAAAAACATAAGACATGGAAGTTGTTGCGCATTCTCAAAAATAAATATAGGAAGCCGTGGCTATATGTTGGTGATTTTAATGAGGTGTTGTTTGCTCATGAGGAGGGAGGCCAGCCAAAACCACAAGCATGTATGGACAGATTTAGAGAAACTTTGGAGGAATGTAGGCTGGAGGATATGGGTTTTGTTGGGGATGCTTTCACATGGCGAAACCATCACCATAAGGTTGAGGGCTACATAAGGGAAAGGCTGGACCGAGCTGTGGCTTGTAATGATTGGAGGAGAGCAAACCCCTTGGTGAGGGTGATTAGTGGAGATCCGCGCCATTCAGAACATAGGCCTGTGATTGTTGATGTAATACCAAAACTTGAAGCTAAGTGGTTGGAGGAGGAGGATTGTTGGGAGAGGGTGACGAAGGCTTGGTCAGATGCTGTGGTTGCTGGGGCGCGTAACGTTAGGGAGGTTCAACAGTCTGTACTCAAGGATTTACATGATTGGGACAGGAATGTCCTTGAAGAGCTAGAATGGAGAATTAGCAAAGTGAGGAAGGAGTTAGAGAGGTGCAGACGACAGCAGATTTCTCAAAGTTGTGTTTCTCAGGAGCACGTTTTGCAGGATAAGATGGAGCGTTTGTAGGAGCAACTAAACACTAAACATTTACTGGAAGCAACGATCTCATACCGTGTGGCTCATAAAGGCTGACCAAAACACAAAATTCTTCCATGCTGCAGCCTCAGAGAGGAGGAATAGGATTAAGAAGTTGATTGATGAGGATGGGAGAGAAGTAGAAGGGGGTAGGCTGAAAAAATTTATTGCTAACCAGTACAAGAATATCTTTCTTTCCCATGCAGGTTCACAAGCTGATGATGTGTTGTGTTGTGTTTCATCACATGTCACTAGCGAGATAAACGCGGCGCTCATCAAACAATTCACAGAGGAGGTCTGGGAGGCCTTGCAATCCATTAGGGACCTAAAAGCTCCAGGTCCGGATGATGCTCCCGCTATTTTTTACAAAAAAGATTTGGCCTTTGATTGGTGATAGGGTGAAGGAGGTACTTACAGTCCTAAATGGAGAGCCTATTCCCCCGGTTGGAATGACACAAATACACAATCATGGTGTTAATCACGAAGATCAAGAACCCAACGAAACTGAAGGATCTCCAGCCAACAAGTTTGTGCAACGTTTTGTATATGCTAACCGCTAAGGTTCTGTCCAACCGTCTCAAGTCAATTTTGCCTGATATTATCAGCCCCTCTCAAAGCGCCATTGTGCCTGGCCATTTAATAACAGATAATGTTTTACTAGCATATGAATTGATACATTATATGCACAACATGAGTGGCAAACATGGAGTTGCGGCTTTCAAACTTGATATGAGTAGTAAGGCCTATGACAGGGTAGAGTGGATCTTTTTGGAGAAGATAATGAGGATTGAGGAAGATGGGATTTGCAGAGAGGTGGATTAACCTAATCATGAAGTGTGTGTGAGAGAGAGAGAGCTAAGTTTCATTTAAAATCAAGGTGAACTGGGAATATACGGAGACCATAAAACCAAGGGGATTACGGCAGGGGGGCCCATTATCTCCACATCTGTTTATTATCTGAGTTGAAGGTTTTTCTGCTTTGATGCAGAGAGCTGAAAGAAACGGTGAGAATGAGGGTCTTAGGATCTGCCATGGAGCCCCACGGGTTAGCCACCTTTTCTTTGTGGATGATTCCCTCATCTTTATCAAAGCGTCAGCCACCAGGCATAAACATCTGCAGAACATTCTATCCTTGTATGAAGGAGCCTCTGGCCAGGTGGTTAACAAAGAAAAAACAGCAGCCATGTTTAGCAGGAACACCCCAGTCCAAGTTAAGCAACAAATGTTATCTGAACTAAGTATCACACACACACTACTAGCAATGACAAGTACTTGGGACTACCTGTACATGTTGCAAAATCAAATAAAAAAAATAACTTTTGAGTACATTAAGCAGAGAATTTGGACAAGGATTCAGGGTTGGCAGGAAAAGCTCTTACCTAAGGCAGGAAAAGAAATTTTAATCAAAGCAGTAGCACAAGCTATTCCTACATACGCCATGTCTTGCTTTGACCTTTCCAAAAGCTTATGTTATGAAATTAGCTCTATGATAGGGAGGTATTGGTGGAGCCAGCAAGACAAAGTTAACAAAATTAATTGGATTGGATGGCAAAAACTGACAAGGTCAAAAAATCTAGGGGGGCTGGGCTTTAGGGACCTTCATGCCTTCAATTTGGCCATGTTAGCTAGACGTGGTGTCTTCTTACCCAACCTGACAGCTTACGCGCTAAAGTGATGCAAGCCAAATATTTTCCAACCGGAAAACTTCTTGAAGCTACTGTTAAAGGTGGAATATCTTATACATGATGGAGCACTCTGAGAGGTATGGGGCTCTTAAAGGAAGGTATAATATGGAGAATTGAAGACGGAAACCAAGTGAAAATATGGTCTGATCCATGGATCCCCAGAAGTGAAACTAGAAAGGTTATCACTCCCAGAAACAGGTCCCTCCTCACCAAGGTTGCTGAATTGATTGATCCATTGACTGGGACTTAGGATGTTCAGCTAATCAGAGAGACCTTTGTCCCAGATGGCATGGAAGACACAGTTGCCTGGCATGCTGACCCCAAAGGGCTTATTTTCTGTCAAGTCTGCATATGCATTGGCAATCAAGCGTCGTGGCCATTTCTGTAAGGCAGACACATCATCCTCGATCCTCAATGTGCAAATTGGATCAATCCGTGTGGGAAAAAAATATGGGGTCTAAATGTCACCAACAAAATCAAGGTGTTCATGTGGAGGTTGGCGCATAACAGCCATCCAGTGAGAGTAAACATCAAAAGGAGAGTAATAGAGCTGGACACCCTTTGCCCAATGTGCCATCGCCTTGATGAGGACTGTGGCCACCTCTTTTTCAAATGCAAATCTGTCAAACAGATTTGGAGAAGTCTTGACTTGGAAGATCCGAGGATGCACATGGCCAATCAAGGAGCTGCTCTTGATGTCATGGATCTTATTTTTTATCTCCAAGAAGAAATAAAGCTGAAAGTGGTCACTCTCTTATGGTGTTGGCCGAATGTTAGAAACAAAACAAACCAAAGGGAGAGGAAGTGCACAACTGAAGAAGTATGCAGCTCCGTTTTGTATCACTCTTGCCAAATGCAGAAGTTAAAATCAGCTCCGCCCCCCTTGGAACCAAAACAACATGGAAAATGGAGGCCACCTCGAGAAGGGTTTTACAAAATCAATTGCAATGGCACGTTCTTGCAGAATAGCAAATCTGGAGGATGGGGATGCATAATCCGAGATCACAAAGGAGCCTTTATGGCTGCTGCTGCAGGGCATTTGGAATTTCTTTCAAGTGCCCTTCATGCTGAAAGTTTGGCGTGTTTAAAAGGCTTGGAATTGCAGCAACTGTTTGGATGCAGAAAGTGTTAATTGAGTTAGACGCCCAGACCTTGATGGCTTGATGTCTGCACTTTCTTCTAAAGATTTTGATCGATCAGAGCTAGGGATGCTCTTCAGAGAAATTAAAAGTTGTATGGCCTTTGACTTCATATGCTGTAATATTACTAAGTGTATAGGCCTTGTAATGTTGTAGCTGATTGCCTAGCGTCTTATGGTGCCTGTTTGGATGTGGGTAATTCTAGTTTGTGGCTAGATCAGGCACCAGAGTTTGTAATCCCTCACGTTTCCGGTAATTTACCGGAATCGGTTACTTAATGGAATTGTGTTTCCATCTAAAAAAAACATCATAGGAGAGAAGTAAATAACCTCAGTGGCACAGAAAACCATAGCTGACAAAAGGTCAGCATGCAACCCATGCATGACAGAAAGCACCAGGTGAGTGGCAAACAGTACGAAATGAAGCCACAAGAATAAGTTAACTGAAGAAAATTTGAAGGAACTGTAAAGGAATAAGGACTCAGTTGAATCATCTAAACAACATGTGCAGCAACTTTTTACAGCAATACAGCATATATCAACGTGTTTCTCCATTTTGTCTGTTTAATCACTCACATATTATCGTGGGGAGCTATATATTCAATCAACCCTTCTTCTTTTGCAAAGAAATCTATTATATTTATCATAGGAGAGAAGTAGAGAACCTCAGTGGCCCAGCAAAGTAGCAAACCATTGTTGAGAAAAAGGTCAGTATGCAACCCCCGCATGGCAGAAAGCATCAGGTACTCAGGTGAGTGGCAAACAGTACCTAAGTCAAACCACAAGAATAAGATAACTGAAGAAAATATGAAGGAACCGTGAAGGAATAAGGACTATATTGAAGCATCTAAACAACGTGTGCAACAACTTAAAAAAAATACAGGATGTAATGTAGAGCATCAGAGCTACAGCAATACAGCATACATCACCGTGTTTATCCATTTTGTCTGTTTAATCACAACCAAATTATCCTGTTGAGCTGTTTATTTTAACCAGTCCTCCTTTTGCAAAGAAATCCATTATATGTAGTAAAGAAGAAAATTTCCAAGTTACAGTTAGATCATGTAATAAAAGAAATTGGCTTTGCAAGCATAAACCATCTTAACGTTGGGCCTACAATTTTTGAAACGGTTTTTTTTTTTTTTTTTTGAAACGAGGCTCCGGTACAATTGACCAAGAAGAGCCATGTATAAGCCAACTTTTCCATGATAGGCGTAATTATAACGCGAAAGAGCATTCAACAGGCACGGGAAATGTTTTGGAGAACTGCTGTTTTGGCGAACGGCGTGATTCAAATGTGCTACTGCTAGCGCGACGCGACCATTGCCTTGCCTCCCGACCAGTCGCCATCTCCACCTCCAAAGTACTACTACTGCGCCGGCGCCCCCCACAGCTTCCGACACCACGCGGCCTCAATCCACCACATCCTCTCCCAGCCCGCCTACACTGAAAACCAACGAGCAAAGCTCACCCTAGCGGCCGCACCCTAACCTTCATCGCCGTCAAGGCACCTCCCATGGCGAACACAGAAAGCGTGAGGGGAGAACAAGTAGCAAGAGAGATATACCTCGATGTGCTGTCCCCGCGGCTAGAGGCGCGACGGCCGCCGCCATCGACGGACGAGGACGAGGCGAAGGCGATCGCGAGGCGGCGGCCAATGGGACGATTTGCGAGCACGGACGGGATGGAGTTTCTTCAGCTACGGGGTGCGGAACAGCTAGGCTGGAGCGGAGCACGGCGCTGCCGGGGCGCGGTGCAGCCGGGAAGGAGCGCGGCGCGGCCAAGGAGACTCGGGCGGCGTGCTGCCTGCGTACGGAGGAAAGAAATCGCACACAGGAAGAAAAGAGACGAATCGGTAGGTTTGTGTACGAGAAATTTCAATATATTTGATATCTATAAGCAGTAATTCACAAGTATTTTAAAATATACTAGTAAATACGTCCGTGTATTTCAACGGAAGAAAAAAAACTATCAAGCATTCATGCAAATTGATAACGTAAATGATATCTATATATATTTTATCCTTTTATAATTTACTAGCAAATATGCACGTGCGACACGTACGTAGCTAACAGCAGCATGTGCATCAGATCACCACCAGCCTCCCCAACTGTCTAGCAGATGCACATGATGCTTATTCCCTTGCTCGATCCTCCTCCTTGTCGGCGCTACCTCGACGACGTTGGTGATGAAGCCGAGCGATGGCAAGGTGACAGGGGTTGCCGGACCATTCTCCTACATCTGCAGCTCCACATACGACTACTGTAACTCGACGCGGTCCAAAAGAACATTCCAGGCCAACCTCACCATTATCTCCTATGAGCTTGCAGGGAACGCGAAGGCGTCGGGCTTCGCGTTGCGGGCGTTCGGAGATACCCCGTACACGGCGTACGGGCTCCGCCACTGTCGTGAGGACTTCCTTGGTGACCAGTGTGTTCGTGCCTCGTGTTGGGGCTCAGCCTCGCGCTGTCCGCCATCTGCGTCGGATCCAGAGATGCGGCGGTGTACTACGATCAGTGCATGTTCCGGTTCTCTGACCGTGACTTCCTCTCTAGCTACGACAACTCCGCAGACCTGGTGGTCGCATGGAACATGAACAGCGTGAGCGGCAGGAACGTCGACGTGTTTGTTAGCCTGCTCGGGGGGCTCGTAAACACGGTGGCCGTCGTGGCCAGCAACGCGACCAGCAGATACGGCACAACCATTGCCAGGTTCCCACCGGATGCGACCAACGTGCTCGCGCTCGGGCAGTGCACGTAGGACCTGACGCCGGTGCAGTGTCTGTGGTGCCTCACAGGCCTCATCCACCAGATGCCGGCTTTGTTCGTGGACAAGGGGAAGGTGAGGGTGGGCAGTAGAATATTAGGGTTACGTTGGAAAATCATGTACGAGAGTAATCAATTCTTCTTCCTAGACGAAATGCCTCAGCTGGATAAGAATTCGTCGTCAACCACTACAGGAGGAGGACAAGGCAAAGGTTAGTAGTGGTTGCTCTGTCCATGTTGAACACGTTAGGAGATTAAGGAAAGGATGATATATATATATATATATATATATATATATATATATATATATATATATATATATATATATATATATATATTATGTAGCTGGCCGCATAATAAGTTATTCTGTGACCACTTTGAGTTACGATAATTACTATACTAATTTACGAGATTATGGTAACTCCCTTATAAGTGATTTACTATAGCATTATGATAAGTATCATCTTGAATTATAGTAAACCATGTATCGTAAATGTATATTTATCATTATCGTAAATTGGTACAAACATTATCGTAAATCAAGGTAGCCATAGAATAAGTTATTCTGTGGCCAGCTGTAGAATAGCCTTATTCTATGGCCACCTTGATTTACGATAATATTTGTACCAATTTACGATAATGACAAATACACATTTATGATACATGGGTTACTATAATTTAAGATAATACTTACCATAATATTATAGTAAATCACTTATAAGAGAGCTACGTAATCTCGTATATTGAAGCATGCCGATGGGATTTCATGCTTGCCTCGTACATTGCGGCTAGCTATGTGCTATAGTCCGAGCTTTGAAGGAAATAAAATTGATTGACTGCTGGCTGTGAACGTGCTAGAGTCCACGCAGAGGAAGCACCTGCATGCATATATGTTACTACCAGGTCTCGGAATAGGATTTGTAATGCAATGGCCGGTACTTGTACGATTATTGATACGTGACCGAGAGGGAGCCGCTGTAAGATGTCGGATAATGAAAGGCTTATATGACACGATGTATGGATGGAATGGTTATCAATAAGGGAGAGTAAGATCTCAGACGACGTAAGACTCATATGAAACGGTGTCAAGATCAAACGATTATGAAAGATGAATAAACCCCCCCTCCCCACACACAAATTATTCACTCTTTTATAGTGTGATTTTATGATGACCGTGACATTCATAATATAAGTTAATGCTGATAATAAATAACAATGTCTTATTAAATCTGTATCAAATTACAATATATCTTGATATATTTTTTCTTCCATTGCAAAACGCATAATTATTTAGCTATAAATATGCCATAACTTTATTTTTTTCATAATACTTATGTGTTTCTATGATTCAATATCAATCTTTTTAACTTTTTTGATGCATCATGTCAACCTCCATAATTTTTTTTGTCGATGTGTCAAGCATTGGTCTGTCCATCAATGATTGAGATCTCTCTTGAATTTTCACATGGCAGTCCTCGTTAGGAATTACATAAATACATTTGTTTATATTTCGTTACATAATAATCTGCCAAGATCCTGGTTCACGAAATAATTAGTTGTACCGTTGAGTAATCCATATTTTAATAAGTTTTGTTTCTAATCAAAACTACATCAGATGGTGTAAATCCTTCTTCTCAAATCAAAACTTAATGTGTAAACAAACATAATAAGTGCTGAAAAGTAGGATTTATGCAGTGGGGCTTGCCATGGGCAGGAATTAAAACAGCGGAAAGTTAGTGAAGGCTTCAGGAACACCGACAACGTGGACCTCCTCCTCATCCTCCTCGGCCACCTCCGCGTATTTGGGGTCTATCTCTGGCACGTTCTTGGTCTTCGCCGGACCTATACGCATACAATATATAGAAGGATGATTTAACATACATATAGACAAAAGCACAACTTAATAAGATTCATAACATGTATGGATAGATCATATTTTTATGAAGCTAACAAAACTAGTTTAGCATTTTTCTGATTTTTCTATGATTTTTGATGAATTTTGCAAGATCTCTAAAAACGAAAGAAAAGGAAAAAGACTTACCTGGGCTTGGTCCAACCCACAATGAAGCCCGACCAACTGCAAGATTCAGCCCAGGTCAGATCTAAATATTTTGCATTAAAAACCCTAATATATTTCAAAAACTATTAAGGCTCTCCCACATTTTCTTTCTCTCTAGTATCTTTACATCTAGAACCCCGTATTTCTTTCTATTATCTTCCCCACTCCTAATCTCCGTTGGCAACCGTAAAAATAGAAAAGGAATTGATACGGACACGGTGAGCACCATGAGACCAAGCCGGTGATTTGGGGCTGGCAGAAAAAAAGTACGGTGGAAATTTTACCTCTTTAATATTAGGTATAGATATAGAATTATAGGTATGCGAATTCTTTCGATCTATAAGTGTTCTTATTTTTATTATAACTCTTTCACTATTTAGGGCATGCGAAAAGAAAATATTGCCCCCATAATTAACTCATAGGCCCGTGCAAGTGCAAGGGCACGAACAGATCCCCATAATCCTACATGTCGAGCAAGGGGCTTGCAATCTGAAGAATCAAATCATGCACAATAAGATAGCAGCAAGCAAATTAGTATTACGAGTTTATAAAGAATAAGATAGCTCATACTTGTCAACTCTGTTTTATCAGCCTTGCCAACTTTCTATATGTGTTTACATGGAGCTTTCTCCAAAGGTAATCAAACAAATTGACATTTACAGAAAAACATTGTTTATGGACCAATGGTGACATTAACAGAAAAGGGAAATGCTTGGAAGCTTGGATGTGAGACCCAGCCCATTGGGCCAGTTGGGCCGGACCAAATTCACGACAATGTAGCGATGAGGTACTAGTATTCCCAGTTTAGTTCTATACCGGAAACGGAACAAACGCTAGACCAGCTTAAAAGCCTGGACCTGGGAGGTTGTTAACTCTAGATCGATCCTTTTGTGCGAAGCGAGGACGAAAGCGCAAGAGAGTTAATTAGCAGCAGGTGTGACTCATTCAACATGTAGAGTGGGCCTTAGCCGTCTTCCCGGGTCAAGGGCGTTACAAATGGTATCAGAGCCAACTCTCGCGGTTTTTACGGTTGCGTATGGTCCGAAAGCCTGGACATGTTGTGCATGGCTCCAGAAAGGGCATGACACTTGGGCCGGAGAACTAGAAATACGGACGTGGACAAGTGTTGGGTTTATAAACCTGGGGTCCATAATGGACCCGCTTCCCTATAAAATTCAGCCCAGCAGGTGGCGCAATGACAGCAAATGTCTGGGCCGGCCCAGATACACAATAACAGGCCAAGACCATGATCCGGTCCCCGACCGGCACCTCCGACCTCTGGGTTGCGGGCTCCGCCTCGCCCGACCTCTTTTCTTCGACCGAGGATACGCCGGACCTCTGCTCGCTGCTCTTTCCCGACTGACATGGTCGGGAACGACTGGGAACGACCGACCAGGGACGCCCGCTCGGTGTAGGCCTAGGGAGCAGGCAGAGCAGATAAGATAAGGCGCTCAAGTCAACCGTAATACCGAGGACCGTACCCTGCCATACCTTGCGCACCTGCTAGACGGTGCCACCAGGTCATGACAGACGGACACTATACAACCTTCCAGACATGTTAGACCACAAATAGTATTGTGCGCACTAGCAGCCATCTCGTGGCCAATGGCGTGAGCAACAAGACTAGGCAGCACACGTGTACACTTTCTCTCTTTCTCTCTAACTTGTAAGGCCACCCCTTTTAACTATAAAAAGGGATGCGCTCTCTCCTCTCTAGAGGAGGTTGGCTCTCTCCGGCTCTAGACGACCTAAGCACTCGAACAGGTCGATAGCTCTAGAACTCAACAGC